CGCGCGCGCGGCCGCGCGCGCGCGGCGCTGCGACCGATCGCAAAAAGAATTCTGTCCCAAGCCTCTCCAAAGAATTCTACCGACATGTGTCGCAAGTAGCAGTCTCGATAGCAGTCTCGAGCGGTGAGCCGCCTGATAAAAATGACTTTTTGAGCGTCCGTCCGCAGGCGTATTTTGTGTTCCGAGGCGGTGCCCGGTGCCGAGCGCAGGGAGTGCCCAGTGCACCCACCCACAGGTCGGTTGTCAGGCCTTCAGTTCACCTCTCCTAGCACCCGGTTTGGTGTGGTGACCTACATTACGAGGTCGAAGGTCCACACACACTTGCCCCCTGGCGATCTGGCAGTGGGCACTCAACTTTTTATTTGGGCGGGGGGAGGGTCCTCTGTTTTCTTTTTGTGGCCGCAAAAAGAATTTTACAACAAAACTTCCTCGCACTAGGCACGGGACTGGCGCGCACTGGCACTAACGCAGGTACACCACGGCTCAAAAAAAGAAATATGCCAACCAACAGTGCGTACAGAACTGAATAATGGCTACTTCGATTCGCATGTTCACTGCTGCGGTGTGTGCCGCGGGAGCGCGGCGGCGAGGTGGGGTGAGAATCTCTAGGGTACCATACTTGACCCCCCCCCTTGGCGCCACGTCTTTTCGTGCCAAACAGCGCGATCTGGGGCGGGGCATGGGGTGGGGCTACATGCGCTCGCGGGGCTCCCCGACGGGGCGGGCCTCGTGCTGATGGACCCAGCCGAGGTGCCCGATCAGTTGGAGCCGCGCCGACGCGCTGCGCGCGACCACCAGCCAGCTTTCCGGCCGGGCCGAGAACGGTGTGTCGAGAAAGCTGACAGTCAAAGTAGTTTTTCCCTCTTTTTGAGCGCGGCTGCTGCACACCCAGCCCACCAGTGATAAGAGAGGCACAGGATCCACCCCGTCGCGAGCTTGACCCCAGCAGCTCAGCGCTGCTGCTGGGGGGGGGTCCCGATCGGGGCAGACTGCACAACACACGTCGATAGATCAGTTTTCAGCTAAAGAAATTTGTGGGGGATGCAGCTCAAGAGCTCAGAGTTGGACGGCCTGTCCCAACGCGACACGCAACACGAGCGCCCGCACAGGGGCAACGGTGAGCAAGCCGACGCTGCACGCGGCGCCGAGGCTCATCATCAGCGCGGCGAACGGGAACGCCTCGCGCTCGTCGCTCAGACAAAGCACTGCGCCGCCGTGGGCGGTGCCGGAGAGCGCCAGGCCGCGCGCGGCGGGGTCGCGCACACCCAGCCGTGAGAGGAGGGGCTTGCCTATGGGAAAGGGGTCCGAGGAGGATCCGAGACAGTTCCTAGAGGGGAGGTGCGAGGGCAACGGCCCAGGGGCTAGCCGAGCGGGATGGCGACAAGTCCGGTGAGGAACGCGGCCAACATGCCTGCACCATCAACTCACCGAAGTCAGGGCGGGAGCACGGAACAGTGCAGAGTTCTCAGAGCACCGCGTGAATACGAGGGGCTACGATTACCAGCCGAATGCAGCGGGATACAGCCCCTCTCGCGCGCTGCTTTGGACACAAGAATCCGCATTCCGCTTCTAGGCTGGCGAGCCAAGCGCGGGCTCGCAGGAGAGGAGGCGACACCTGAGATACGGGGAGATATGGGGAGATATGGCGAGATAGAGGGCTCGCAGGAGAGGAGGCGACACCTGAGATACGGGGAGATATGGGGAGATATGGCGAGATAGAGGGCTCGCAGGAGAGGAGGCGACACGCGAGATACGGGGAGATAGAGGGCACATTTCCGGCGCGAGAGCGGTGGTTGTGGAGCGGCTGAGGAGGGCCAGCCGCAGCGCGGGGGGCAGGCCGAGCGCTCGCGCTGCCGCCGCAGCACTGAGCATGCCCGTGAGGGAGCCGAGCGTTGCTGTGCCTGCTCATGGCCGGGAGGTGTGAAGAGACGCCGTTCACAGCTGCGAGGGGACGCGAGCGCGCCGCTGGGCGAGGGGGGAGGGGGACAGGGAGGTGTGTGTGTGTGTGTGTGTGTGTGTGTGTGTGTGTGTGTGTGTGTGTGTGTGTGTGTGTGTGTGGAGGGGGGTGGGGGT